TAGTTCATCCAAATGGCCTCCAAAGGCCTCAACACCGAAGAATGTTCAAAAGTTCCAAACAATGACCAAACTTGATACTTGAAACAACTTTGGTCAACATATCTGCAGGGTTGTCCTTCGTGTGGATCTTCTCCAATATGACGTCTCCTTCATCTAAAACGTCACGAACAAAATGGAATCTGACATCGATATGCTTCGTGCGTGCATGATAAACTTGGTTCTTCGCCAAATAGATAGCTGACATGCTATCACAATATACCCGAAGGGTCTCCTGTGCAATCCCCAAGTTCTCCAATAATCCCTGCAACCACAAAGCTTCCTTCACAGCTTCAGTCAACGCCATATACTTTGCCTCCGTAGTGGAGATAGCCACTGTAGACTGAAGTGTGCATCTCCAACACACCGGTGCTCCTGCTAGTATAAACATATATCCGCTAGTAGACCGGCGCTTGTCCAGATCCCCCGCATAATCAGAATCCACGTAACCAATACAATCCTGCCTTGTCTTCTCATTCTTCTGAAATACCAAACCAACATCCACGGTACCTTTGATATACCGTAGAATCCACTTCACGGCCTCCCAATGACCCTTCCCGGGGTCGTGCATGTACCTGGATACCATGCTCACGGCCTGTGACAAATCTGGCCTTGTACACACCATCGCATACATCAAGCTACCCACAGCATTGGCATATGGAACTTTGGACATGTATTCCCGGTCCTCAACTGAAACAGGTGACATCTTAGCTGATAGCTTAAAGTGGGGAGCTAATGGAGTACTCACCGCTTTGGCATTGCCATCATAACTGAATTTCTTCAGCATCTTCTGCAAGTAACTCTTCTGTGTCAACTTCAACTTCCCCTTCACCCTGTCTCTCTCGATCTCCATACCCAATATCTTCTTTGCTTCTCCAAGATCCTTCATCTCAAATTCGGATGACAGTTCCTTTTTCAACTTTCTAATAGCTGAAGTATTCCTGGAAGCTATGAGCATATCGTCAACATATAACAACAAATAGATATACTCACTATTCTGTAGCTTGTGCATGTAAACACATGGGTCATATGGGCTCCTCGTGTACCCTCGGCCAATCATAAAGCCGTCGAATCTCTTGTACCATTGTCGCGGTGATTTCTTCAATCCGTAAAGAGACTTCTTCAGCTTGCATACCAATTCTTCCTTTCCTGCAGCTTTGAACCCCATAGGTTGTGTCATGTAGATCTCCTCTTCTAAATCTCCATGTAGAAAGGCTGTTTTCACATCCATTTGGACCAAATCCAAATCCAGCTGTGCCACCAATGCCAATAAAATACGAATCGACGAATGCTTCACAACAGGTGAAAATACCTCATTGTAATCAACGCCCTCTAGCTGTGCATATCCCTTGGCAACCAATCTGGCTTTGAATCTAATCTCCCCAATAGAAGATCCCTCTTTCTTTGCATACACCCACTTGCATCCAATAGCCTTCTTACCTTTCGGTAGCTTTGCAAGTTCCCAAGTGTCGTTCTTATGAAGAGACTGCATCTCCTCCTCCATGGCTTCCCTCCACCTAATCGAATCAGAGCTTGACTCTGCTTCCTTGAATGTAAAAGGAACCAAATCATCAACGACTTCTGCTGATAAAGCATATGCAACCATGACATCGTTATATCTAGCTGGCCGACGAATGTTTCTTCTTGGTCTATTAGCTGCAATGGACTCCTGAACATGACCCTGTTCCTGAGTCCCAACATCCACTGTATCCTCTAAATGCCCGGCTGTCGTCCCATCTCCTTCCAGTGTCACCTCTGTAGGAGCCTCAATGGATACAATGTTATCTGGAGTTGGTGGAGTCACATCATCCTCCACCTGCTGTGATATCGTAACTGTCTGGTCTTCCTCCACCTGCTGAGGAACTTGAAGCTTCATCATGTACGTCTCGTCAAATGTGACATCCCTGCTAATAACTATCTTCTTGTCTTGTGGATCCCATAACTTGAAGCCTTTAACTCCATCTTTAAATCCCACAAAGACTGCTTTCCATGCCTTCTCGGAGGGTTCACCATCACTCTTCCTCAACTCATAATTCACCAAAGCTGAGGTCACCTCCTTGTAGCTAACCGTAGTTCTTCCATTTATCATAGTGAGAACAAACGTACCAAAATCATCCTCCGGCAATGAACACAATAGTAACATCGCCTTGTCTTCATCCTCAACCATGATATCTACATTGGCCATATCCGAAATTAGCTTCGTGAAGTTGTTAACATGCTCCCGAATAGAAACTCCCCTCTTCATCTTGAATTGGTAAAACCTCTTCTTCAAGTGAAGCCGATTCTCAATGCTCTTCGTCAGATATTCTTCAAGTGAAACCGATTCTCAATGCTCTTCGTCAGATACTTCTCATTGAGTGTTTCCCACATTCTCTTCGTCGACGTCTCGTTCATTACGTCATAAATAAGATCCGGCGTCAAGCATGACCGAATAACTCCACAAGCCCTACTATTCATTTTCTTCCAAACCTTGTCCTCCATATCAGCGGGTTTCTCTTGTAACTCAAGAGTCTCCTCCAAATTTTATGCATCCAAGGCGTCCATCACCTGACACCTTCACAATCCAAAATTAATCTTACCGTCGAACTTCGGAACATCAATGCTTGTTTCTCCCATGTTATCGATCTAATTCTTCAAATAGGAATTCTT